GCTGGAGATGTATAAACTTGTCTGTCTTGTCTCTGTCCAGGTTACTTACTCTCACTGCTTTGGAAAACTTGCATACATGCACCCACCCCCACACACACATGCAATATCTCATCTGGCTAAAGTTTTTTAAAATGACAAAGATAAATAATTCACCAGTTGGAATAGTGGCAAATAGGATTGCTGGAACTGCTAGATCTAGCCATGATGGCTTGGATTCATTACAGCAAACATACATAATTCAATATACTCATTTGCTTTAGTGTGAAACATAAAAATGGAACAGTTGGAATTGTATAAAGTGAACTAAAGATGCAAAAAAGTGGCATATGAGTATATTTTGCAGATGTCACATTAACAAGTATGATTCACTTCATTATCTTATTCTTAAAGTGAACATTCTTCACGATTTCCAGACCTCTTTGTGTATTTTTATCTTTTTCTTTTGCCAAATAAAGGTGTTATTTTGGTCCTCTATTGGTAGAGGTTATGTTTAAATATAACCAATCAGGCCCTAAGTGCAAAAAAGTTCTGTCTTGGTGCTTATCATTGGTATAATTATTATTTGTTTTCCTAACTTTGCTCTTTGGAGCATGAATCTCTTGGTAGCTTTATGGTAATGGAATATTTCTATCCATTTACTGTCAAGAAAACATTTTTTATGTTGTATAAGTGAAGACTGTTTTCAGGGTTAAATGGTATTAATGTATATAGAATAAAATTATTGCAAAATTTTAAAATGGTTTTTCTTGGTGTTTTTAATACTCTGAAAAATATATGAAAATGATAGTCATACTAAGTGTAATGTGAAGAATTTTTCTTTTAGGGTTTTATAATTAAGAGTTGCTTATAAATATTTATGACATCAAGTTCTATTTTACTTATATTTAAAGAATGGGAAATGAGTCATGAACTGCTTTTTGTTGTTGTTAACTCTTGGTGTGACTTCCAGTGTTGAGTGACCGCATGCACTCAAGTGAATGTGCTGTTGCTTGTTCCCTGTTGCAAATCTAACCAGACTGTGGATTCATCTCGCCATCATTCTCATGCTCTTTTTGCCCAGCAATGTCAGAGTTTCATTTCAGTACACTGGAGTCACAACTTATAAGGTGGTTAGTTTTTGAAGGCTGTGCCTAACTCGGGCACATGTAAAATGAACTTTCAAAATCTCTTAAGTTGCCAATGAAATTCTTTTTGCAGTCTTACTGTTTGTATCTCTGTGGAGTGATACATAGGTGTGAATACATTATGCATATAATAAGAACACTATATAAAAATATAAACTGCATACCAAAGGATTTTATAGGTTCATAATCACATATGTAAATGTGTGTTATTTTCTGTTATTTTTTGGCCAATAACTATGGTTGGATTTATGTGAATCTCTTGCTAATCGCATCCCTATGGTTGATCTGTGATTGAAGTGTAGATTCCACACAATTTTTTTGTGTGGTTTGTTGGATGTATCCTCAGAGCCTGGAATAGGGCCTGGCATACAGTGAACACTCACTGAATATTTTCTGAATAAATGAACTCAAGTGTATATACCTATTTATAATCTGGCTCTACTTTAGCTCCCATTTAGTTCATCTTAAAGAAAAAGCACTTTTTGCACACAAGTAGACTTTGTGGGGGCACTTAAGAATTAAGGCTGCCATGGTTGGGGAAACAGACTTGTGAGCCACCTTTACTGAAGAAGGAATGAAGTGTGCACATGGAAGGGTTCCGGGTACCATGCTGTGGAGATGGAGAAAGGAACCTTTAGTCGTGGGGGTGGACAGCAGGAGCCTTGTAAGCTGAGCTCACAAGGACCAAGAGATGGTCAGAGAGTGGAAGGCACTGGGGTCAAGGGAACAGCAGGGGGTGTGCCCCTTCCTGTTGCGGGACACGTTTGCCTCTCTGTCCAGACTTCCTTTCACTGCTTCCCACACGTTTACCCACCCCACCCCCATTAACCCAAATCAGGCTTTGTTCAGTTCCACCTGCTCTAGAAAAATGTGTCCAGTACACAGCTCCATTTCCAAAGTCCATAGGAGTTACTGTTTGTTGTCCCACATACTTGACCATTTTGTTCTTCTAATTATTGTTCCGAGGCCAAAAGAAAACAGAGAATTGGGTTTCTTAAAGTTCAAAGACTGTCATATAATGCTTTTGAGTTCTCACTGGCCCAGGTCGGACTGTATGGGAAGTTCTTAGTTGCATGGTGGCTGGATTGTGATTTGGGATGCTATTCCTGCGTTGTGTCATGAGTGACAGGCAAACCTAAGACTGGCTTTTACCTTCTTCTCAAGAGATCCCCTCAACCAGAGCCTGTATGAGTTGTGCTCTGTCTTGGAGTTCTGGGAACCCAGGCATATCCATGCTCTGGGAGGCACTCCTGAACAACTGGATTACACACTCGTGAGATCCTGTTACTACAAGCCGTTGACTACTGTAGGAAAAGTGGGTCATTCATGTTCTTCCTTGTGTCCTGGTACGAAGTCATGAGTCAGAACTTTCATGTCAGAGCATTACTGAGGGAAATAAAAGATCTTTTGGATACATAGTTTATAGAGGTAGTATATAAATTGGCACAGAATCTGACCCAGAGGGAGAATGCAAGGTATCTTGAGAGCCAGGTTAGTTATAGTTCAGTACTGACAAAGGCATTACATTGTTCTTTTGGAAGTTGTTTTTCTCTTCACGTCTACATTGCTTTCTTTTAGAAGAAGTTAAATTGTATCAAATGCATAATAAAAACAGTAGTAATACAGTTTGGCAAGAATTCTACTTAGAGTGCTGTGGTGTAGCGGGTAAAGCCACTGCTTGCAGTGTCGGCATTCCAGATGGGCATTGGTTTGAGTCCCCACTGCTGTACTTCCTATCCAGCTCTTTGCTTTGGTCTAGGAAAACAGTAGGATGGCCCAAGTGCTCGGGCCGTGCACCCATGTAGGAGACCTGGAAGAAGCTTCAGACTCTTAGCTTTAGATGGGTCCAGCACCAGCCATTGTGGCCATTTGGGGAGTGAACCAACAGATGGAAGACTTCTCTCCTCTCTCTCTGCCTCTCTCTAGCTCTACCTTTCAAATAAATAAATGGATCTTTAAAAAAAAAAAAAGCCAAATGCAATGTGCTGGCTTTAAAAAAAAATTCTGCTTAACACAAAAATGACCAAGCATCTTAATCAAACTACTATTTAAAAGATGACCAAGTTTATCACTACAGCCACCTGTAACTGGATTTGGTCCTGCCACCCCCACAGACATTTTGGGGAGAGTGTGTCCCAAAAGATCAATGCAGAGCAAGTCATCTTGTTTAATTTCATGACCACAAAATTTCAGGGTAACTATTACTATGTGCCTATTAACGGTGGAGGAGAAAAAGTTCCCCAAGGTTACAGAGCTGGGGGAGCCTTTGACCCTAAAGCCCACTCTGTCCCCTGAACTTTAGGCTTTCAAAACTGAATATGCTGGGACCTCAAGCAGGTATTTGCAAAGAAATCCCAAATTCAGCTGATGAATGGATAGTTCCAGATAATTGTCCTGGCAATGAAATGGGGTAATAACCTTAAAGCTTTCTTTGAAACACCAAATGGATTTAATCAGTTACTACTTAACAAGTTGAGTACCTAGAAAACAGGTGCCTCTGATAATACACAAGCAACCGCTTGGGCTACCTTCTAAAAGATAAAGCGACAGGTTCAAGGCAGCTGCAAATGGCATATTGTTAAATGATTTTTTTTTACAGTAAAATTCACAGTGAAACGCACTGATCTCCCTGAATTTTAGAAATCGCTGGAGTAAAGCACTGTCACACTCCAACCGATAGAATGTATACCACCCTCCGAAAATGCTCTGGGGCCCGACCACGGCTCCCGGAGGCCCGCGGGGCTCTGATCTCCACTGCTGTAATCGGGCGATGTCTTCGCTATATTTTGCATGCAAGCCTAGGTGAACCCGATGGCACCTTCCTGCGACAAGCACAGACTGTTGAACAAGGTGGAACTCGTTCCTCCCACGTTCTGAGAAAAAGACAACTCACACTTTAAATGTTCGCGTGTTTTTTATTTAATGAACCGATTCTGGCGCCAGGGGAAGAAAAACGATACACATTGTGTCTGTATCTGTGTTCTAGTGAAACTCCCATGGCGTTTTTTGGGAAGCAAGGTTACAGCCCACACTTGATGCCACCTCAATGACTTCTTTGTGTAGCCCCGCAGACGAAAAGTGACCCTGGAAGCAGCGCTGGAACTGGGCGTGCGGGAGGCCGCCGGCCCGCCCCGCACCCCCGGGTCCCGGCAGCCGGCCCGGGTGCCCCCGCCGGCCGCGCGCGTTTCCTGCCGGCTTCCTGTCCGGCGCGGGCGGGCGAGCTGGGGGCGGGCAGGAAAGGATGCACTGCCCAGAAGGGGCGAGGGCGGGCCCGCCGGGTCCGGAATGACCCCCGCCCTCCCCGCGCCGGCGAGGGCAAGGGCAAGGGCGGGCTCGGGCGGGGCCCGGCGCGCAATCCGCGGGCGCGGGATGCTGGGCGTGCTGCCTCGCGGGCCCTGAGGCCTCCGGTGCGCCCTGTCACTTCGCGCCTGGCCGCGGAGCCCGACAGTTCCAAGAGGTAAGAAGAGCCCTCCGAGGGGCGCGGGCGCGGGCGCGGCCCCCGGGCTCCGCCACCTCCCCTGCCCGCAGCCCGAGAGCGCAGGGGACTCGCCTTGAAGAGGTGTCCGCGCCGCTGCGTCCCCGCTGTCCCGGGCGCAGGTGTCGCCGCGGGGCTGAGCCGAATTGCAGGGACCGTGAACACCTGCGGCTTTGGATACCAGGCGCCGGCGAGTAAGTCCGTTCTGTGTTGAAAGTGTCACTCTGGGATCCGAGCGGTGTGAGACGCGATCTGCGTGCGGAGCACTGGGACCGGAGTTGCGGCCGTGAACCTGCGGCGGCGCAGGGCAGGCTGGCCCGGGAGGCAGGGACGCGCGCTGAGTTGCAATCGCGGATTCCCCCTTCTCAGTATTCTGAGATCCACACGAGCGTCCGTCTGTTTGTCAGAAAGAACAAAGTTACTGTGCTGCTTTTTGTTTTCCCTTTTATTCTTTGACGAGTCGCGGGGCCCGCGGACTTTAGAGTGGTTCATTTTCCTTTTTTTCTGCGGCTGGGACAGGGGGTACCGCAGCATTTACCTTTGCCGGTTTCATCAACATCTTGGAATCTGAGGTTGGGTGATGTGTTTAGCCACTAGGGTACAACCAAGGGGTCGCGGACGATTCTTCCACCTCACGATGATGTGAAAGCGTAGGCATGGAGTGCTGCTGATCTTCACTTTCAGTATAGTATTCAATAAATTATACCATCTATTCTGCAGTTTACTATAAAATAGGCTTTGGGTCAGATAATATTGCCTAACTGTAGGCTAATGGGAGTGTTTTGAACACATTTAAGACAGACTAGGATGTGAGGTTTGGTAGGTATATTAAATGCATTTTCAACTTAGGATATTTTCAGCTTGGGATGGGTTTATTGGGAGGTAACACACTGTAAGCTAAGGAGCATGCGTATCCACAACTTCTCTCCACCTTCTCAGCCCATACGTTTAAAATTTGTTTGTAGACACTTTTGTATATGAATTCTGTATACAGGTGCATTTAAGTGTGTAAAAGACCTTCCGAAGTTCTTATTTCTTCAAATGATTCTCTGTGGAACATCGGACATACCAAGTCATAATGTTGGGAACAATGTGTTGAAATAAAACATGCAAGCAAGATAGAAAAAGAATTAAAGAGGCACGTTAAGATCATGATATTATAATTATCATAATTGATAACTGATTGACAAGGTGGTCTGGGTTATTTTATAATTCTGTTTCCATTCAGTTCCAAATATAGATGACTACACAATTCTATTTTAGTGATTATTTTCATGAGGAGTAGGTTAAAATCACAAAATTAGTTGTGATTAGGGGCTTATATTTATATTTCTCTATTAGAGTGGGAATTTAGCCTCGTGGTGAAATGCCTGCCTCCCACACCAGAGTGCTGGGTTCAGTTCCCGGCTCTGGCTCCTACCTCCAGCTTCCCACCAGTGCAGGCACTTGGAAGCAGTGGTGATAGCTCAAGTAGTTGGGTTCCTGCCACCCTTGTGGGAGATCTGGATTGTGTTCCTGGCTCCCACCCAGTCCCAGCCATTTCAGGCAACCGGGGTGTGGACCAGTGGATGGGAACTCTGTCTCTCAAATTGAAAAGAAAAAAACCCTTAAAACAGAATATATGGTTATCAAGGGGAAGCAAGCAGTCTGGGAGCTTGCTTCTCCGTATCAGTGATTTGAAGCATGTGGCCCACCCTAAGTGTCCACGCTTACCCAAGAGGATAGGCTGATAGTTTCTATGAGGGCTTCATCTGTTCTCCTTGGATGGCTTTCCCAGCCCAGGTGCAGGGGTGGGGGTGGGGGACTGGGTCACATCTGTGGCTGTTGCTATCCAAACAGGATTTTCTTTTTTATTTGTATGGAGGGCATCCATAATCATCTGCATAATTGCACTTCAAATCTCTGCTTTCCTTTCAGGAAGTACAGTATTTCCTTTGCTGAACCCACTCTTAATGACCAAAGGAAAGTCAATAGAGACACACCAGTTTCCTTTCCATTGAATTTTGGCTTATTTCAATCAGGTCTCTTAATTCTTTTAATTTCTGTTCTTATGTAGAGACATGTAACATGTAGCTGGGAAACAGTATAATTGCTCATTGAAAATATATTAACTGAATAATGGAGGGAGACTGTAAACAGTGAGGAAATGTATTTGGCTGTCTTTTTTTAAAAATTATTTTTCATTTTATTTGAAGGGCTGAGAGAGACAGAGAGACAGAGATCTTCCATCCACTGATTCACTCCCCAGATGCCACCAACAGCCAGGGCTGGCCCAGGCTAAAGCCAGGAGCTGGAAATTCAGACTGGATCTCCCACCCAGAAGCAGGCACCCAACTATTTAGACTATCTTCTGCTTCCTTCCCAGGGTGCATTAGCAGGAAGCTGGATTTGAAGCAGAGTAACTGGGACTTGAACCAGGCACTCTGATGTGGGATTCAGGCATCCCTTGCACCAAATACCTGCTTTCATTTGGTTGTTTAATATCACACCATTTGGTAGACTCTAGTCTGAAAAAAAGAGCTGAAATTCCTTGCATCTTATTCTGTAGTCCAATATTCTGTGTTTGTTTCCACAAATCATTTTGAACCACAGGCGAGCAGTCTTCCTGCCTTCCCAGGTGGCCTGGGAATATTGCTACGAGAAGAATCTATCCTAGATACATACTAGCTACAACAAGAATTGGAAGAGTGACAGAAGGTGACAACTGTTATTTATCTGTTTTCTTCTCAGCTACCCTAAACAAGAGAAATCAGGGCCCTGTGGAGTTCACATTTAGTTATATTCTGGGTATCTTTATCAAAAGTTTGATCATTTGGATATAGGTCCTAGGAGTCTGAAAATGAAGCCATCCAGATAACGCACTGGCTGTGCAACAAAGTGTTAATTAGTCCATTTGTAGAAGGCAGGCAGCAGGGAGGGTTTGGTGTACAGAAAACACAATACTAAGTGAAAGTTTGGCAAAAATGTGAAATGCTGAGCAGCTAAATAATGTGCAAATGTATCATCCATACCAACAAGTAACTTTGATAAAATTAAACAAATAATAATGTATTTCACTCGAGGATGTCTATAAAGACAAGACACTTTGGTATTATGCAAAGAAAAGCTCAGAGTAGGGCACACCTGAATGTTGTTGACAGGTAAGCTGTGATGGAACAAGAGGGGCTTGTACATTCACAGGGAAAACTCATGTGCTTCATGGTTTCCTTTCAGCATCATTTAGGAAGTTTGGCTTCTTGTCATTTTATGATTTTGTGAATCACATTGAATAGAGTCATCATGTTTGAGGTTCTAATTTCAGGTGTTGGAAAAAAATCACAATTTGGATGTGAGAAAGGACATGAGGAGACTAAAGACCTGGGATTTTGCTGATCAGAATGAAACCAATGTTGAAAGATTTTTCCAATCTGTTGTTGGTGGTGCTCTGTGACTGTGGTGAGTATTGTGGGTATGCTTAATGCTGTGGCTTTCAATAAAGAAACATAAGTGTGAAGTTTAAGTGCACCTTTGTCAGTGACCCTTCAGGAGGCATCAGGGTAGGGTCTACAGTACAAAGCCTTTAAAACTGTGATCCTTGCAAACCCAGGTCCCCTTAAGGTGCTTCTGGGGTTCTACATGTTTGATTCAAATTTCACTTTAAATAATTTTTAACTTTTTAAAAAAGATTTATTTTATTTATTTGAAAGGCAGAATTACACAGAGAGTTACGGAGAACTGGTTCACTCCTCAAAATGGCGACAATGGCTGGGGCTGGGCCAGGTCAAAGCCAGGAGCCAAGAGCTTCATCCTGGTCTCCCACATTGGTACAGGTGCCCAAAGACTTGGCTATCTTCTGCTGCTTTCCTAAGCATGTTAGCAGGGAGCTGGATTGGAAGTGGAGCAACTGGGACTTGCACTGGTGCCCATGTGGAATACCAGAATAGCAGGCTGTGTCTTACCCCACAACGTTGGCCCTACTCTTTTTAACTCTTAAAAAAATTTTAAGAAACTCACTCCCATTTTAACAAACTAGAGACAGGCATTTTGCCCAAAGTTCTTTAATTGATTTCCTAATAGTTCACTATTATCAGTCACACACACACACACACCACTAATGTTTTGAATAATGGGGTTCTACATTTAATTTCACTTTACAAGGAAGTTTTACTGCTAGCGTGTTTGGAACCAATCTGAATTGCAGTTGTTGCTGTTTGTGTGCTCTTGGACAAATCTCTTAGTCCTTAGTGATACTAATATCACAAGGTTGTTATGATAAAATCAAGAATGAAGCATCTTGAATGTGTAAGCATACAGGGTGTGTTTAAGGTTAGTTCTATTCATAGTTTTTCAACTAAAAATCAAGTTCATTTCTCTGAGAGTTTTATGGAACTACTGAGCCCTCACTACTTTTCTTATGATTTCCAAATATTTCATAGATAAGCAACTGATAATTGTATTGTAATCCAAGAGATAAAATACTGGCTTGTGTAATGTCATTCATACAGCCAGTTAGATGGAACACAGCATGTGCTATACATTTTATCCAGTAACTCTCTCTCTCTCTCGCTCTCTCTCCAGTTCTCTCCCCCCCTCCTCAAATAAAGTTAAAAAAAAAAAGGAAATGGGAGAGGGGACAGGAAAAGGTAAAGGAAGTTTTGTGGTAATAGCCAGGTTTTGGTGGATCCAAACTGTAGTTTTCCAAGTGAGAGTGCATTTTTGTCTGTAGGAACAAGCATTCCAGAGTAAGATAGCAACTTCTACCTTTGGTACACACGTCCTGTCTGCTGCTGGAACCCATCAGTTGCATCTTTGTTCTCCATTTCCAGCCAGAAATGAGTCCTCATTGATTGGCTCCCCATCAAATCTGAATCTGATCTGCCTCATTGATGATCTCAGACAGTCACAATAGAACATCTTAAGGCACCCCAGAATTGTCCTGCCCCCTTCAGAATCAAATTAATATGAGGTTGTTCTCAGTCTTCACTCCTTCCCAGGGAGGTGGTGACCACTGGAGTCTCTTTAGCCACAGAGTCATGAAAGCTTCCAGGTCAGCTCTGAACCAGCCCACAGAATCCCCCAGAATCAGCACCTTCCCCAACCTTGAGTTGTCTCCAAGCAAAAGGGAGAATCTCTCGACTGCCGTTTGTCTAAGTTGGGAGAAAAGCAACCTGATCCTGTTATGGTTTCCTAGCAAATGATGATCAAACAATCAGTTTATCTAAGTTTTCTATATTTTATTTCACCTCATTTCAGTAAGAAATAGGTAAAGTGCTGAAGTGATTAAGAAAACACATGTGCTAATGTATTCATGTGCTGAGTCCAATAATTATTGATTGAACACAAACAAGGGTGTTTTTAAAGACTACCAAACCCTTTGGACATATATGCTATATATGTATGTTATATTAGTGTGAGGTATATCTAATAAGAATTATAAATATTAGACACATTATTTTTCAAACCAAATGGTCGCTGTAGTTCCTTAAATCTAGAATAGTTCTTACTCTAGCCATGGGCCAGTTGATTGTTGCATTGCCAAATTCTGTTTCCTTTGATATGTATTTGGATGGGGTTCAAAATAGAAACAAGGATTCTTGTGTGTCTGGGTTCTTTGCACTATTCACTTCAACTGAAAAGATGTGATTGATCCTAACTGAATGATACTTGGGAGGCTAGTAGTCATCTGTTCTGTCTAGGCCAGTGCTAGTTGCTGTAATGTCACTAAGATAGCCAAGCACAAGCCTAGCTATTTCATAAATGTCTACTGTTTCCCTTGGGAGATCTATTCAAAGTAAAATGTCAACATTTCTTACCCATCTAAAGGTTTCTGCCTCATACAAGTGGAGGATATCGGCTTCATTATTGGTAAAAACTCCCATGTCTCAAATGTAAAAAAAAAATTTAGAGTTTTACATTTTAAATAGCCTAGACCAGTTTGTGTTGCGTCATTTAAATCAAATTTTCTCTCCAAAAATCACTGTATATCCATTGCTTCCAAACACCTAAACACCAAAATGTGATTAAAATGAGAAATGGAAGATAGTGGATTTTTTAAAAAAGATTTATTATTTATTTGAAAGAGTTACAGAGAGAGAGTGTTTCCATCTGCTGGTTCACTCTCCAGATGGCTGTAATGGCCAGGGCTTGGGCCAGGCTGAAGCCAAGAGCTTTATCTGGGTGTCTCACATAGGTGGCAGGGACCCAAATACTTGGACCATCCTCTGCTACTTTTCCCAGGCCGTTAGCTGGGAGCTGGATCAGAAATGTAGCAGCCGGACACAAACTGGCACCTATATGGGATGCTGGCATGGTAGGTGGAGGCTTTACCTGCTATGCTGCGATGCTGGCCTCGGTTACTGGATTTTTTTTTTTTTTTTTTTTGTAATTCGTATTTTTTTTTTTGTCCTTCTTTTTTTTTTTTTATCTTTTATTTAATGAATATAAATTTCCAAAGTACGACTCATGTGTTACAATGGCTTCCCCCCCGTACCGTCCCTCCCACCCACAACCCCCCCCTTCCCACTCCCTCTCCCCCTCCATTCACGTCAAGATTCATT